GGGGGGGGGGGGGGGGGAGTTTCTCACGATTATCTTATTATTTGGGAGGTTGATTTTTGGGCTTTTTTTTTCAAAATAGGTTTTGGGTCCAAATATTTTTCATTCTTAGTTTCATATCTTCTTATTTAGAGCATTGTTTTCAAAATTGACCCAAAAACCGCAATTGTTTTCCTTGGGGCTTTATTCTGAAAGATAGCAAGTTTATACTTTATAAACCCACATTGAGTCTTATGCTCTTTTCTTGGTAAAAATGGCCCTTAAAATGTTTGAAATCCTTCTAGGAATCCCATAGAATTTTGTTTTCTAGAACTGGCCATCCACATGCTATCTAGATGCTGCTTAATCAACCATTATTGATATTTCTGAAAACGGAAAAAAAGAGAGAAACCAGTTTTAGGAGCCTTTTATTTTTAGAAAATTGAGTGATTTTTATATTTTCTTCTTGTTCTTGGCGTTTGGACATTTTGGTTTTATATGCCCAACTTCTCCACACCCATAGCATTTGGGTGGACTTCCTTGCTTCTTTCCTTTCCGTTCATACTCTTGGCTCATGAACTTATGGAATTTCTTGAGCACGATCCCGAACTCGTCTTCGTCACTCGAGTCTTCCATAGCACGTTCTTGGCTTGTAGATGCCTTGAGGGCAATCCCATTCTTCTTTTGTTCACCTTGAGAGGGGTAAAGAATGGTAGCCTCATAGGTTTTGAGATTACCTCTAAGTCCGTCGATGGTGACGTTGGTGATTCCAATAGATTCTTGAATGGCATCGGCCTTGGAACGCCATTCCGGTGTGAGACTCCGCAGGATTTTTCTCACAAGCTCCTTGTCCGTGTATGTCTTCTTGAGAGCATGAAGATCGTTTACGATTTTTGAAAATCGTTCAAACATATTGTCGATTTTCTCTTTCTCCTTCATACGAAATAGTTCATACTCATGGGTTAGAAAATCTATCTTAGCTTCTCGGACTTGATCCGTACCTTCATATGTGATTTCTAGCTTGTCCCACATTTCCTTGGCAGTGGAACAACAAGAGATCTTCCGGTAGTCATCCGGGTTTACGGCACAATAGATGATGTTGATAGCCTTGGCGTTGTTTTCTATCTTCTTGATATCCCGCTCATCATACTCATCTTCGGTTTTGGGCACGATGGTTTCCCCAACTTTCTTTGTGGGTACTTCTTCACCATTTTTAATTATTCTCCACAAAAGAAAGTTGTTGGATTGAATAAAAATCCTCATCCGCTCTTTCCAATATGTATAATTTGTTCTATCAAATAACGGTGGCCTCGTGGTAGATTGACCTTCACCTATTCCTGCGAAAAAATTTTGAGTAGAAGCCATTGATCGTTTCTCTCAAACGGTTAAGTCTTTCAGAGAGTATGGCTCCGATACCAATTGTTAGAATAAAGGCCCAGCGCTAGAGGGGGGGTGAATAGCGTTTAAAACAAAATCGCAGGAAATTAAAAATGAGAGTGATAAAGTAAAGAGCGTAAGGAAGGAGCACAACGAATTTTATCCTGGTTCACCACAACGTGTGGCTAATCCAGCCTTTTGAGAGACTCTCTCGAGTTACACTAACTCCGTTAAGCTTAAAGGTGCTCAACAAACCGATACAACTTGAGAACTCGAGTCACACGAGCCTCAACGCCTTTGCTCGGAGATACCGCACTCCAAGACTTCTCACGAAGGAACGAAAGACTTCCTTCAAGTTTAGAACAAGGGAACAACCTCCCTTAAAGTGTATAGAAACACTTAAACACTCAGGAATAAAACTCTCACAAAGAGTAGATATGAGTGAACTAGTAAACGCTCAAGAACACGACAATTTCTTCAAGAATTGGCTCTCAAATAGCTAAGAAAAATAGGAATGCTTATGGAATGAAAGAGTATTGAAATGTTTAAGAATTGTGTGTCAAATGAAAGGATTTGGGTGCCATTTTATAGCCCAAAATGGGACAAACCCGTTGCTAGAGTTTCCAACAGGATGAAGACAAATTTTTCAGAGACACAGGCTGATAGTCGATTATCCGAGCTTGATAATCGATTATCAAAAGATTCCTTGTCCAAAAATTTAAAATTCTATCCGTTGGAGGACAACGGTAACCCAGATAATCGATTGTCAAAAAGTGATAATCGATTATTGGTCCTCTCAGAAGATTCTGGGTTTTGGCTGCAAAGACTGATAATTGATTATTGCATAAGTGATAATCGATTATTGCGTGCTTCAGAACATTGGATGTTCAAAGCTGCAGGGGCTGATAGTCGATTGTCACTAAGGTGATAATAGATTATCACCCAGCTAAAGTCTAGCCAGCTGAAACCCGTTTTGAAAAACCGAGGTCCAAAAACGAAGTGTTCCCAAAAGTAAAAACCAGGTTTGAAAAACATTGTATATGGTATAAAATAATGAAAACAAGACTTGTTCGGTAAAAACCAAGTCTCCAAGGTCGTATATCACGTGCATACGGTTCTGATCGTTTTCACGTGTTAGACCGATTGACCAAGATACAAAAGTGGTTTTTATAAAATAATTATTTGGGAACATTTTAAAAATGCTCAGAGGTAAAAACAGGGTTTAAAAAATTGAAAACCACGGAGTTGGTTCGGGCGCCAAAAACCGAACGCCGAACGCCGAGTTAGGTGGTTTAGGTTCCGAGCAAGGACCAGGGATTTTAATCAATAAAAAGTCATCAGAAATATTTATTTTGATGCACACAAAATATTTTATGATTTGTAAAAATTGTTTTGACTCTTTGAGAACCGAGACTTGAATTTATTGTCGGTTTTGATCACAAAAGACCGACTCGACTAAGTCTTCAATTCTTGATCTTGTCCTTGAGTCTTTTTGGTCTTGTTCCAAGCCATTCTTCACGCCTTGAGTTATTCAACGAAACTCTTCATATCCACGACGGTTTGGCAATTATAAAAACCTGTCAGAAATGAACACGACTTTAGTTTATCGTACAATGTTTGTTCCAACATGCTATTGAGCCATTTTAAACCATAGGATTCCACTAGAAAACTTTTTTGTAGCAGCTTTAGAGCATTCGTTAGAACCCAAAAAAATCCACACCTTAGTTTCCATCCTTGTAAGATTTTTAGCTCACTTTGTTTTCAAAATGTTTTGGGCATAAAGTCTTAAGTGTGGGGGTGTAAAGTGCATTTTGTTCTTCTTAATGATGATAGAAATTAATTTGTTTTGTCTGGTCTTTTGAACGAGGACGTTCAAGTCTTAAGTGTGGGGGTATTTGATAAGTCGGGTTTGGATTAGTTCTTTTTATTCAATTTTATGCTTTTTTATTATTTTTAGAATTTAATTTTTAGTTATTTTGCTTAGTTTTACTTTTATTCCAACTTTTACAATCTTTTAATTTTCTTTAAAAAATAGTAGCTTTTTAATCATTTTTTTAACATTTTATTATTGTCTTCATTTTATTTTATTTTTTCTAACCCAAAATTATTAGATATTTTATTTTTGGAGAAAAGTGTAGCAAAAGACCAAATTGGAGCTCAAGTTTAAAAGGAAGCAATTTAAATTGGGCCGGACCCCAAACCCATCAGCAACAAAATTGGCCCAAGACTCCATCCTCCTCTTCAGTTTCACGCACGAAGGAAATAGTCAGCGACTTCGACTTCTTCTTCGGCGATTGAAGGACCAATTTCTTCACGCTCCAACGTTCGGCTCCTTCAATTTAACGACAATCAATTCTCAACGGGAAGTAATTCAAAAGTAAATTACTCCTTCTTGCTATAAATTAGAGCAACATCAACTCAAAAGAGGGAGTGGGGGAACAACGGGGGAGGGCATCGCACCAAACAGAAAAGTGAGCAGCGGCTTTAGCCGCTGCAATTGATGCCACCGGAGAAGGAAGCAGTCGGCGGCCGACCACGGCTCGCCGGCGTTCGACGATGGTCGGCGGTGATACGTGTGGCAGTTCCTTCAAGCTCCAATTTCTTCAAGTTTTCTTCATCTTCTTCAACAATTGGTAACCCTATATTTGTCAATTTATTTTTCTTCTCCAATTTCTTTGTAAAAGTGTTGTTTCAATTCAAATTTACAATTTTTTTTCTTGTTGTGTGAATTTCGAAAATTCCAAAATGGTTGGTATTCTTTTATGGGTTTTTTAATGTTATATTAAATCCCTTATGAATGAAAATTGATTCTTACTAGTTTCTTCAATTTTTGCACAAATTGATGTTAAATTGGTTGAGTTATAAATTTGATTTCATAAGTAGGTTGGTATGTCGAATTCGGTTATCATTGAAGCTAATTTAGCTCCATATTTTAGTTAAATGATTTTCGAATTCATACGTGAATCTTTTTTGTGACTTGTGTTTTGTAAAATTTTAAGGTAAATGAACTTCTTAGCCACATAAGTTGAACGTTTTCCTTAAGATTCGTTATAAAGTGATTGTTTATGTCTTGGTGTTCTTGTTTGTTATTTTCATAAAAATTGGGATTGTTTAAGCGCAATAAACAACTCTTGATTTAATGAAAATATGTAATGTTCTTTTATGTGAATAGATTAAAATTCNTTCATGAATACTTTGTGCATGGGAGTTAGAATGAAAGAAAGATTCGCTCTTTTATAAACTTTTTCATCTTTTGGAATCATTGTTTGAGCGCTTGAGGTGAGTGGAGGTTCAAAGTGATCCAAAAGGCCTTTGAATCTTTGACTCCGGGCCTTATAGAGAGTTGACGATCCTCTATATGTGGTCAAGGATATGAATCAACTCGAGCCTTTGAATTCTTTTCTATTTTTAAGTGCGTATGTTAAGTAATATATTGTCTAAGTGCCTATTATACGTGTAATGTTCAATTTGTGTTTGTTCTCTTTTTCATTTTGTTTTGAGTTCTTGGCGGTGTTTCTTGGGTTACCTTAATTGGAGAAGTTGATTATCTTTTGAGCTTGTTTTCCCCCATTTAGTCAAAAAACCAAAAAAATAAGAAAATATAAAAAACCAAAAAATATTTACTTTTTATTCAAACCCCCCCCTTTGTGTTGTGTTTCAGTTATATTATAAGTTCTTTGTTTATATAAGTTATAGTTATAAGTTTTGTTATAAGTTTTATACATCTTATCATATGTGTAGTAGTTTTTTTTTATTTTATTTAGTGACAACGTGTTTGCATACTAAATTGGTTTTAAAAAGTACAAACTTTTTCCGTGGGATCCACCCTTACTTGCCCTAGCTATAGTTTTTATTTGATTATATTGGGGGTTAGCTAAGGATATTTTATAAATTTTTAATTTGTTTTGGACCGCACGACAAGTCCCCAACACCCCTCATGTTGTGTTTTCCGAAGATAATACTCGCTTGGCGAGAAAGGCTATTTGTTATGATCTTGCAGATTCGCTCGAAAGAATACACGTTGAAGATGATGAAGATGACACGCCAATATACACCAACCCGCAGCCGCAAACTGAGGAAACACCTCAAGTAGGGGTGTTCAATCGGATCGATCCGATCCGATCCGAAAATTTCGGATCATGCAAAACTCATTCCATATCCGATCCGAATATTCGGATATCCGATTTTTCGGATCGGATCACTGGATTATCCGAAAAGTTGAGTTTTAAGCCAAAATTTACAAAAAAAAGGTAAAATAGCAAAATCAACCCAAAATATCAAATTCAATATAGATTTACTAAAAGAAAAATTCCACCACTTGGTAATGGCCTAATAAAAAAATGATACCAAATTTAATTTCGGAGTAACTTTGGTAATTTTGCCTAAACAAGCAAAAAAACACTATTAAAACATAAAATTCTAAAATGCTAATGCAAAAAGTCCAAAATGGGTGATTTCCAAAATCAACATAAAATTACATTTAAACATATAGTCATAATATATATCCATAAAATTCCAAAAACATATAGCAAAAAAAATCGGATATCCGATTATCCGAAAAAATCCAGAAATTGAATCCATATCCGATCCAATTTTTTTTGGGTATCCAGTCCGAAATATCCGCAAGCTAAAATATCGGATCGGATATCCATTTTTCGGATCGGATCGACCCGGATCGTGGACGGATATTTCGGATTGGATATTTTTGAACACCCCTAACCTCAAGTGATTGTCGAAAATGAAGAAGATCATGCGGAGGAAGAAGAACAGAAGGAAGCCCAGGAAGAAGAAGAAATCGAGCTTCCCGTCGCTTGGAGAACGAACAAGAACCACCCACTTGATCAGGTAACGGCAGCATCAACCGCGGGGTAAGTACTCGTAACTCACTTAGGGACACCGTAGGACACATGGCTTTGGTTTCTCAAATTGAACCTACAACCATTCCCGAAGCAATAAACGATGCACATTGGACCTTGGCTATGCAAGAGGAGCTAAACCAATTCAAACGGAATGACGTTTGGGAATTGGTGCCAAGGCCCGATGATCGTACGATTATTGGTACGAAATGGGTGTTCCGTAATAAACTTGATGAAAATGGAATAATCACTAGAAACAAAGCTAGGCTCGTAGCTAAAGGCTACAATCAAGAAGAAGGCATTGATTTTGAAGAAACCTATGCACCCGTAGCATGTTTAGAAGCTATACGTTTACTTCTTGCTTTTGCTTCGTCTATAGATTTTAAACTTTATCAAATGGATATTAAGAGTGCCTTCCTCAATGGTTTCATTCAAGAGGAAGTGTACGTTGACCAGCCCCCGGGGTTTGAAGACTTTGAGTATCCCGACCATGTCTTCAAACTCAAGAAAGCGCTCTACGGTCTTAAACAAGCACTCCGTGCTTGGTACGAACGTTTGAGTAAATTTCTTTTGGATAGTGGCTTCCAAAGGGGAATGGTTGACACTACACTTTTTATCAAGAGTAAAAACAGCAACATCCTTTTGGTTCAAGTTTATGTAGACGATATTATATTTGGTGCTACTAACGAGTCTTTGTGCAAGGAATTTTCCAAGTTAATGAATAGCGAGTTCGAAATGTCAATGATGGGTGAGCTCACGTTCTTTTTGGGACTTCAAGTGAATCAAATGAGAGATCACACATTCATTTGCAAAACTAAGTACTGCAAAGAACTCCTAAAACGGTTCGAAATGGACAACGCCAAAGCCATGGCGACCCCGATGAGCACATCCGATCATCTTGACAAAGACGAGAAAGGTAAGGAAGTAGAGGTCAAAAAGTATCGAGGTATGATCGGATCCCTTCTTTATCTTACCGCTAGTAGGCCGGATATCATGTTTAGCGTATGCCTTTGCGCAAGGTATCAATCGTGTCCGAAGGAATCGCACTTAACGGCGGTGAAACGGATCATGAAGTACCTTGTTGGCACAGTTAACGTTGGACTATGGTATCCAAAAGGCTGTTCTTGTCATCTCATTGGTTACTCGGACTCGGACTTTTCCGGTTGCAAATTGGACCGTAAAGGTACGAGTGGGACTTGCCACTTACTTGGTAGCTCTCTAGTCTCATGGTTTAGTAAGAAACAATTCAGTGTTGCGTTATCCACAACCGAAGCGGAATACTTAGCCGCCGGTAGTTGTTGTGCTCAAATCCTTTGGATGAAGCAACAACTTGTGGACTATGGCCTTAGTATCAATCACAATCCTCTTCGTTGTGATAATACTAGCGCCATAAGCTTGACGAAGAACCCCATTCTTCACTCAAGGACGAAACACATTGACATTAGGCATCATTTCATTAGAGATCATGTTCTCAAACGTGATCTCGAAATTGAGTTCGTTGAAACACACAACCAATTAGCCGACATTTTCACAAAACCTTTAGAGAAAGAGTCGGTTTTCCGCATTCGAAGTGAACTCGGAATCCTCGACTCCACGATGATCTAAGGTGTGCATTTTAACTTGTTAAACATTTACTAACTTGAGCGTCGGAGAACTTTTTCTTTTTTGCAGGTACCCCGTTCATAAAATCAGGGGGAACCATGCAAACAGCGCTGTAAGAAGGACAACATCGTTGTTCCTACAGCGCTGTCAAGAACACCAACAACGCTGTTGAAGGAAACACCATCAACCAACTTGGGCAAACAACGATGTACAATAGACAAACATCGCTGTCACAGGGAGTCCTCTTACTCTTTGCTTTCTAGAAACTTTTTAAACATCGTTGTAGCATGCTTCAACATCGCTGTTTCCTTAAAGCACCATGTTTTCCATCAAAACAAGAAAGTTTTTCAACAGCGATGTATATTACAGCAACATCACTGTCCATTTTTACAAATTTTTTTCTTATCGTAAAACAGCGATGTAGGCAAACCCAACAGCGCTGTTCTAATGGGTTCAAACCCTTACACAGTTCCAGGAAGTTTTGGAACATCGCTGTAGGGAACCAAACATCGCTGTCCATTTGACACCTTTTTTTAAAACTTAACGCACAACAGCGTTGTACGAAAGCACAATAGCGCTGTCCCAACAACAATGTAGCCTTTGGAACATCGCTGTTCAGGTTGAATTTTTCAAAAAAAGAAATATCCGTTGGGCACTAAATTAAATGCTCTAACTGCCAAATATTTGAAATTCTGAACGTTGCAGACCATATCCGATATATATTTGGCCTCCTATTCACCTTTTTCTCACATCTAAACACAATCTCTTTCATTCCACTCGCATATTTCATCTCCTCTACAATTTTTTCTTGAAGAATTCTTCATCATCATGGGCAAAGACAAGAGCAGGGCAGGAACTTCCGGGAAATCCAATCCAAATCCCGCGCGCCTGCAACGACCTCTGAGGAACGCCTCTACTACGGCGACGGGTCGTACCTATGGTTCGATTCCGAGGAGGAGTGCACCCGCTTTCTCACCTTCTTCTCTAAACGGGTTGTGGCTCCCCCGCGGATTGTCCTAGAGCGTTTACCAGAGTTACAAGGCTACGACTTCCTCGACGCACAGCTCCACCAAACCGGCCTATGGCCGTTCGTCTCCAAGGCCCAGAAGGAGATCAACCCGGCGCTGATTCGGGCTTTCTACTCAAATCTCCGCCGTGAGGATGACGTCATCTATAGCCTCGTCATGTCCACGCCGATTGAACTTGTAACACCCACCTTCTGTGGACCCGGTTCACTCGTGACCCAACGGACCGGTAGGGTTACATGGGGCGGTCCGAGAACAGTCTGTAGTGGAAAACATTAATGCTCATTTATTATGAAAACGGTTAGGTTTAATTGGTGGAATAAATTCTAGGGAGTTACACCCAAAACGGGTGTGATGTAAATGTAGAGTAAGAGCGGAAGTAAATAAATAAGTCCAAAAATAAATAAAACGACAATGGTGGGTTCATGCCCAAGTGATTAAGAAACTTGTAAATAAGAAACTTGTCCATGCGCCGCCTATCTTCCATCATCACTGTCCACCAGGGTTAGAACCTGTACCGTCGTGTCTACCTGCGTGCAGCAAAAACAACTACACGCTCAGCAAAAGCTGACGAGTGAATCTAACAAAAGAACATTAGGTGATAACCCATATGGTTACATACATGTTAATACTTGTATTAACGTATGGAAAACCACATGTTTACTAACTGATTAGTTTTCACCTGTTGGGGTACTATTACATATAACAAGATGATTGAAACATACATGATGATGATATGACCTGATGCATGACTTAGACTATCAGGGACACCCCTGGCTTAGTCTCACTCGACAGGATCACCCCTGCACTCCGGTTATCGTACCAGAATGGTAACGAGCCGGGCACGACAAAGATGTCGCAAGTGGACTAGCAAAACTGGGTAGTAGCCGTAACGTGACTACTATGTACGTACACAAGGGCCCACATGATGAAAACACGTTGGATCCCAAAGTTACCAGGACGGGCCCACTGTAGTAGGCGCACGAAAGCCTGACCTCCCTATAGCGGTATGCACATGATGTAAAAGAAACCTAGGACATGCGTCTAGAATGAATATGATAATTGCTTGATATATTTACCTTTGGTCAACGCCAAGAACATATCAATTAGATAACACAAATTATGAAGATTAACATTTCATGCAAACAAACAGTCAGATTCAGGGTCAACGTGGGCAACGGGGCTCGTTCTACAAACTGCCCGGAAATCTACTCGCGGAACGGTCGACCGTACCCCACCAGCCATGGGGTCTACCGTGGGCTATGCCATGGGGTCTGGAACACCGACGGTCCACCGTGGTCTTCTGTCGCGGCCGGCAGTCGACCGTCACGGTGGTGTCCGTCGGACGGCCAAGGGAACGGTCCACCGTTCGTAGCGGCGGTCGACCGTCCCGAAGGCAGTCCACTGACTTTGGCTTCGTTTTGGTTCATTTTACAAACTTAACACCTTGATTCTTTTTGGAACAATAATATAAACATTGATGAATATATTCCTAGTGATTCCTAGGCCAATATATATAAGTTTTACATAGTGAATGTTTTGATGGCTAACCTACGAACATGCATAGATTCTACGTAGGTTACGTATGATATTCCTATGAATATAACGACATAGATTATAACTAAATGTTCTAGAATTAGATGGGACAACTACTCACCTCTAAACGTAGGGGTTGAAACTACGAAAATGACGAATGAATTGACGAATGATGACTACACTTCGCACGAACGGTCTAGCTCTCCTTCTCCTCCTTCTCCTTCAACCGTGCACCCACCGGAGCTTCGCCGGAGATTTCCCTTGGCTGCTGGTCTGGCCGAACAAAAGGAGCAAGATGGATAGTGATGATGAAAACTTAATGAGGGAATAATAGTGGGGAAGTTACAAAAATGGAATATGATGAGGATGGGAGTGATGGGGTTATAATGGTGGGTTAAGAGGCTATTCAATGGACAATGATGGTGATGTTGAGGGGGCCGAACCAAGGGGTTTAGGGAGGGTTACAAATATTTATTTTACTCCGTTATGTAAAAATCTGACCTGAACGGTATGCGCTTTTCCCCCCCTTGCGTTTCTGGAATCAGATAGTCAAAACGAATTTAATTATATGATCAAATAATTTTTCTAAGAACTTTTATTTTCCCCAACTCCGGTCCGGGACAGTAATTAATTATTTAAAATAATCAATTCTATTAGACCGGGTTGCAGGGTGCTACAGTTATCCACCCCTTAAGAAATTTTCGTCCTCGAAATTTACCTGATCACTGGTCACTGAAAAGATGTGGATAGCGAGTGCGCATGGATTCCTCGGTTTCCCATATTGCCTCCTCGACGGTGTGACTTCTCCACAAAACCTTGACCAACGGAATGGTTTTGTTCCTCAACTGATGGGTCTCACGAGCCAGGATCTCAACCGGCTCCTCCTCATACGTAAGATTCTCATCGAGTGTGACTGTATCAGCTGGAATCACATGAGAAGGATCCGACCGGTACCTTCGGAGCATGGACACGTGGAAAACATTGTGAATCTTGCTCAACTCCGACGGTAACTGGAGCCTGTAAGCTACAGGTCCCACCCGCTCAGTGACTGGGTACGAACCTATAAACCTCGGACTAAGTTTTCCCTTCTTTCCGAAACGTAAGACCTTCTTCCAAGGCGACACCTTCAAGAAGACCTTATCCCCGATTGCATACTCGATGTCACGCCTCTTAAGGTCGGCGTAGGACTTCTGTCGGTCCAAAGCCGCCTTAAGTCGGTCTTTAATCACCTCGACCTTCTCCTCGGTCTCACGAACTAAATCTGGTCCTTCCAACCTCCTCTCGCTGAGCTCTGTCCAGCAGATAGGAGTGCGACAGGGTCTACCGTACAGAGCCTCGTACGGTGCCATACCAATGCTAGCCTGGTGACTGTTGTTGTATGCAAACTCCATGAGCGGTAGATATTTCTCCCAACCGTCCCCGAAGTCAATCGGGCACGCACGCATCATATCTTCGAGAATCTGAATCACCCTCTCCGACTGACCGTCGGTCTAAGGGTGGAACGCGGTACTGAAGTGGAGGTCGGAGCCCAATGCTCTCTGTAGGCTCCTCCAGAACTGTGATGTGAATCGAGGGTCACGATCCGAAATGATAGATGATGGAACTCTATGTAACCTGATGATCTCACGGATGTACAACTCCGCTAAACGCTGAAGTGGAAAGTCACGACCAATGGGGAGGAAATGAGCTGATTTGGCCAATCGATCAATGATGACCCAGACTGTGTCGTGCTTACGTGGTGACAGTGGCAGTCCCACAACAAAATACATCGTGATGCGATCCCACTTCCACTCAGAAATGGTGATCTGCTGAAGTAATCCTCACGGAACCTGATGCTCAGCCTTGACCTGCTGGCAAGTCAAGCAACGCGATGTGAACTCCGTGATCTCCCGCTTCATCGCGGGCCACCAGTAATGTTTCCTAGGATCCTGAAAAATCTTGTTACTGCCCGGGTGCATGGTATATACGGTGTAACACCCTAATCCGTCCAGGTCTGCAGCCCCATTCAGACTAAAGTACTTAAATTAGTAATCGTAAAATTTAAAACTTTTCAAATACACTTTATTAATCCCAATAATATTTTTCATAACATATACAGTACGAAGTATTTAACAATATTGCGGAAGCGAATTGACTATTGACATATCATAAATTATTTCAAAACTTGTCACATCCATCCTGACAATCTCGCCCCATCTGCCGCCAGGATAACATTAATCTTTCTGTTTACCTGCGTGTAGCAAATAAAACACACTACACGCTCAGCGGTGAAGCTGAGTAAGCATATCTAAAGCGTCGAACATCCACATAAATTGACTCTCAATTCATAATCAACCATTTGATATCATGCACACAATATATGGTTCAAACATTCATAATATTTTCAATATTTTATTCCAAGTCATTTGATATTCAATATATCAATAATGCTCTTAAATTATTCTTAGGCCACATCATTTTATATTCAGCTCTTAGCTATTCCTAGTCTAAGGCAGTAATTCTAACCAGGCCCTTAAACTATAAATAGTTTAATGCAGAACACAAGAATCGATAATCCACCCTATGAGTCATGTGGATTAGGTACCAACCGAACAATGATTTGTCGGGTGGGTGATATCCGGTCTGGATCCCGTACGTACGTTTTAACCCGAAATATGAATTGGTCAAGTAGTCTATATCTTAGAGTTCTTCTAGATATCCTTAATAATCATCATCAATATACAAGTGGGTATATCTTAGAGTTGTTCTAGATATCCTTAACAATACGATTCATTAATTCATTATTTTCACTTTAACAATTCATGATCATCATTCAAAACTTTCATCATCATTAATTCATTATAATCAATAATCAAACAATCTTCATAATGCATAATAACAAATAGCGGCCTAGTCTCGAGTGTTAACTCCCGAACTTACCGTCATGCATCACATAATGTTTATATGTCACAAACATCATTTTTATTGTACAAAATCATATTTATATTGTGCATAATTAATTGGCATCAAAACTAGAATTTTAGAGCATATTTTCAAGAACATTTTCATCTCGAATTGAGGAAAATAATTTAAAACCATCAATTAATTTATACAAATTGATTTATATAATTTTATATAATCCATTAATTCATAATAATTGATTTTTACAATTTAAATAATCAATTAATTCATTATAATCGATTTTTACAATTTAAATAATCAATAAATTCATTATAATCGATTTTTCCACTATAAATAATCGATTAATTAAAAAAAAACCGATTTTTACAATTTAAATAATCCATTAATTCACAATAATCTATTTTTACAATTTAAATAATCAATTAATTCATAATAATCGATTTTTACAATTTAAATAATCAATTAATTCATAATAATCGATTTTTACAATTTAAATAATCCATTAATTCATAATAATTGATTTTTACAATTTAAATAATCAATTAATTCATAATAATCGATTTTTACAATTTAAATAATCAATTAATTCATAATAATCAATTTTTACAATTTAAATCATCAATTAATTCATAATAATCGATTTTTAAAATATAAATAATCGATTAAATGGTACTGACTTCGAACCACTGATCTGAATAAAATTCTAATCGATTTTTAGTAAGTAAATAATCGATTTTCGGCCACTGTTCATCGTCTTCTACCTTCGGTCCATTTTTGGACATATCAATTTTAGTTACCAAACTTCAATTAAACTATATAGAAATGTTTTCCAAGGTTCATAGATCATTTTAGAATCATTAAAACATATTTTTAACATCAAATTCAAGGTTTATGATTCTTG